CTGCAAATGGGGGGAAACATGGATGCTCTCCTTATCCCCATCCATGAATATCAGATGAAAAGGATCCCGGGTGATAGGGTTGGCGACTCCTTGTTCCCTTCCGTGCGTAACGGGATGAAATGGCACCATTTCTGTATTTTTCCCTTTTTGTCGAAAGAGGAAATGGAATAATCGGAAGAGGTGGGAGGGAGGTGAGCTAGAAGTGGGACGAACCGTTGTCTAGTCCGACACCGTTCCCACGCTCACCACTCCAAAATTGCGTCATTTCATTTTCGGGTTTATCGCTCCGGAATCATCCTTCTCTTGTCCATAACGCCTCTTGTGAAACGTGTTTTCGTATCAGGTCTTGGGGCATGCATGAGATCCAATCATCCCGTAATTTGAAAAAGGAAACCAGCAGGAAGAAAATGAGATTCTCACGTGTCGGGGGAACTCCTGTCAGAGGGAAGATCATATAAGCTTCGGGATGGATGGGAAGAATGAAGAAGTGGGTCAGGAATTCCTTCATAAAACATTCATGGTACGGTAATAAGACAGACTGGCTGTTGACTGAAATGCCGACAAAGCTGAGAAACTGATGGGGAAGATTGTCGGGGAGACTCCTCACGATTTCTTCTTTCTTCCCCGCTCCCCCTTCTCTTCAATATTTTTCCATGCTGACAACTCCCTTCATTCCTCCCAATCTTTATCAGATCCTTCGTTCGGTGAAAATTTGCCTTCCACCCAGCATGCAGATTTTAAGTTTTAAAAGATTTCGAAGTTATTACTTTCGCCAGGAACCACCCATATATAAATCTTAATTGACAATCGTTTCGGAGTCCTGTCTACCTACGAATAGCCCTCACTTGTTGGATTGTTTGGTGGTACCCTACTATGAAATATATAGTACAGCCGTAACGCTATGCCTTGGTGACGGATGATGATCTGATACACGGTGCCTGAGGGCGTGACTGACACTGAAGGAAAAGGGGAGAGAGAGAGAGACGAGGAACGTGCGGGCTGCGTGAGTGTGTGCATGTGTGTCTCTCATTCTCATTTTCCTCGGTGTCTCACGTTCCGCTCAGTTAGATGAGAATCAGCCGTCGGAGTAGTCCCTCTCATGTGAAAACATCCACTCCACCCTACCCGACCAATCCACATTCGTACATTATGAAACATGGTGGGAGGTGGTGCCGAGAGAACTACCTGGCCTAAGGATTTTGCCTGGTTTCCCGTGAGTATCTCATCTTCCATCGAGTGTTTCCAATCCTTCGTGAACTTATGGTGCCATCTACTGAAGAATCATGGCCTGTTTTAGTGATCCCTGCCATGGTCAACGTGATCTTTGTGTTGCTCTTAAGTTTTGAATGGAAAAATTGGAATGGGTCTTATTTATTGTCTGGTCGAGGGCGTGTTTTCCCAATCCGTTGAATATCTCATTTCGTCAACGGGAAAACGGTGTGACAGTGTCTTAACCCATTAAGTCCCTTTATCTCCAAATGGGGATCTCGTAATTTTTAAACTTGAACTGAAAATAGTATTAATACAATATTTGTTTTAAAATAATTATCTGTATGAATAGTCACCAAAGTTTTTCAGTTGTAGAATATAAATTGATTTCTCAGATGTGTATATTTTTGTGTAAATATAATGCATAAATATGTAATCACTCTACTTAAATGTACATTCAAAGTTGCTGCATCTATTATGCTTACGTTCAATTTCTGGGGAATAATTGAAATGAGGTAGTATTGAGTGGGGAGTGAGGCATTGTATGTTTGTATTAAGTAAAAGAAATCTTGATTTTGTATGGGAGATTTTGCGACCTAAACTGTGACAAAAAAGCCACTCATGGTTAATCTCTATAAAGTTGGATTCCAATCTGGGTGCATATTTCACAGTTCTTGGTTCAGCAAAACTCTGCAACAGGGAGTAACAGCCCTCCGCTGCGTTTCTGAGCCTTGAACGGAATTGCTGAGGGTTTTATAGTATATGGAAGGGGGCCTGTACCACAATACTGACTTGTTTGGTTCCGAGCCTTGAACCGATTTAAGACAAGGGAGGTACGAGGGATCGTCTTCTTGGTGCTATGGGAGTACCTTTCCGGAGTTTCCAGTAACGACACACAGATTAAACCAGAACATAGATCCGAATCTGAATAATACACAGACCGCCTGAGAACAGAAACTAATCAACTGATTTTAGCAGTTAATTACTTTCCGTGAATTTGTCGCATCTAGCCTTTTGGGGTTTCTATTAATGAATTACTTTGTGTAATATTAACAGAAATATGGGAAGCGTATAGAAACAGACTTCTTTGGGAAAAAAAAATGCATGACTGACACAAATCAGATACAGGATAGACTCCTGTTCCCGGGTCCCGGGGATGTACTTTCTCAGTTCTTGATTACTGAAATCTAAAGCGGTAATGGACATATCGCACATAGCCCATCACATCATTCGTCTGTCAATGAGTGATTCCTTCTTTATTATTAAAGTCAGTAATAAAAAAAGGGTCAAATCTATACTAATCAAGACGCGCTGATACCATTTGTAGAAGTATTACAACTCCTCTCATAACTAATGCAATTTATTTCAATGGAATACGAGAAATGTTTGTTTTTTTTGTACAAAGGCCTATTTACGGTGCAATAATAAAAAAGAAGGTTGCGCGAGCATTATTACATGCTAAAATATATGCTAGAATAGAACGCGTAATTAGAACGCCCCTCACTAATGAAGAGTTCTCTAAAAGGTAAGCAACAATCATGAACAAAGTTAGGATTGAAGTAGCCCATAATTTTTTAGAGTGATATTAAATCTCCTGCTTCAACAGCAGCTGCCAGCTTAGTATGCCACTGCTTAAAAGATGGTTAGCACGTGAAAGAAAGTAAAGCGCGCGTTACCGCGATTTTTTTCCCCCACCTTGCTCCACAAAACTTGTGTAAAAACTACGAGTCTTGAAATAAATTGCATTCGAATAGGTTAGATGGTACTACTTACTTATCTGTTCTATCTAGTTATCCTCGAAACTGCATTAGCGCTTCTTAATTAGCTGTAATTAAATGAAAAGGAGTCCCTGTAGCCCACCCTGTAGTCAACTAACAAGATCTAAACAGACTAATCGAAGAAGGCGTCATTTCACCCCTCGGGGCTTAAAGTACTGAAATGTAGGATAACACACAGGCGAGAAATAATCATTTCCTATTCTGTTCTTCAGCGTGACGTATAATTCAATAAGAAAAAGTTGCGTTTCTTGGAGCAACCACTCCTACAACATTGTCCTGTTCAGTTCGTTTAGTTTCACAGAAGGCGGGAGATCCATGACCCATATCGCGTTCCAGTTATGCACAGTACATCTCTAACCTACCATGCTACTAACACAGAATTTTATCCTCCAAGCTTTCACCCATCCGCATGATTCAGCATGAAGACGAGAGCTACGGGGATGTCCATAAAGTTGCTTGAATTTGGGAACTTTTTTTCCATGAACGATCGCAATTCTTTTTAGTTTGTTCAACTAGAACGATCATTTGTACATCTCGGAATCACGGTTAACAATAACTTGATTTCGTTGAAGGCAGTGGCGTATTTTGCGGGGGGGCAGAGGGGGCAGCCGCCCCCCCTGGCGCCCCTGGGACAGAGCTTGGCGCCCCCTTGGAGGTAATAATTTCCCCACTTGGTATCGCTCGGGTGGGGTTTGGCGCCAGGGGGGGGGGGGGGGGGGGGGGGGGGGGGGGGGCAGGGCAACAGCGCGGGGCGCCAAACCCCACCCGAGCGATACCAAGTGGGGAAATTATTACCTCCAAGGGGGCGCCAAGCTCTGTCCCAGGGGCGCCAGGGGGGGCGGCTGCCCCCTCTGCCCCCCCGTAAAATACGCCACTGGTTGAAGGTATTTGAAAAACTTCATTTTCAATGCCTAGAAATCAGTAAATCGAGCCTTCCGGCAGAAATACTTAATTTTTTAAAATGCCTTATCAACGCTGGACATTTTCCCAATATTTAAGGAAGCGTTTTGTGAATGTTTCATCGCGCATGGTGTTCTTCAAGGCAACAGTTTTGTTCTGCTTGAGGAATTTTTAAGCGTGTGGATGCGAGTATGGAGACTGGAAAACGATGGCGCCGTGGAACCTGTCGCAGACGCTTCAGCGTCTGCGACAGGTTCCACGGCGCTCCACGACATGTGATTGACAGTTTTTTCGATTTTAATTTTTGCTGCTTGAAGTTTCGTTGTGACTGACAGACTCTCATCCATATGATGCCTGAGGATAGACATAACTGCTGCTATAATAGTTTCAAGGCTCTGGACTCGTATTCAGTATTGACCGTAAGTTCTGCATTCCCACAACGGAGTGCTTAGCTGGAGGCTTAGCATGTTCGAATGCATGGGAAAAGACTGGCTTAGTACAATGCTTAGGAAGCGTTTAAGACTTTTTATTGAATATGGGCCCAGGACTTCTTGCATCGATCTCACGAATTGTGATGGTGATTACACTTTCGCAGTACATCGGAAGAATCCGTCAGTTATGTCCATCTTCACGTCGTACTTTGTGAAGGCTATGCACGGTATTAAGAAAAAAAAAAAAGAAGACCAGGAACCTGTTCAGTCAAGTCTATAAATATAAAGGGCTGTTGGTCTTCATGATCGCTGGAATCCATCCAAAATTCTCATAGGTCATTTCCGTTCGAACTCAATTGCAGGATTTCCCTCACACTTCGATCGGAACAAGAACATCCTCACGTGCCTCATAGTCTGCCTTAATTTTTTTCCCCTTTCCCAGGAGTTAACGTTCATTTCCTTGCCATGCGGAATCGAAACTTTCAGTGGTTTCTCTGCGCAGCGATCTGTGACAGACAACCGAGAAAGGTTTATTGTAATGGACCGTATTTCGGCGACGCCCAAGATGACAATATGTGTCGTCGTTCTTTCGAAAGTAACTTTTAGCTTCTGTTCCCTAAAGCTCTGATTGCGGGTGCGTGAGCGTGAATGGAACCACAGTTGTCCATATTCTTCGCCTGACATGATGGCGGGAAGGAAGGAACTCCGATCCCGTTGTCATGTGAAAGGGAAGGTGATTGGGGGTGACACAGCAACACTTCTCAATCCAATTGAGAAGAGGGAGGAAGTGAAGAAAAAAGCGAAGGAAAGAGTAGAATAGAATGGATGGATTCAGATGTCTGGGCCTAGGTGCGGCCCAGACTTCGAAATCTCGACCTCCTACTCTCCCATTACATTTAACAAGCTAGCTAAAATGTAGAAGTGAAAGGAGCCTACAGTATTGACTTGTACTCCATCCCAATCGCTGCTTCCGACCCAGAAATCTTTCGCTCTCTCTTTCATCCACTTCAAATAACAAGGTCACTGCGATGGCCGCCTCACATGTATCTGTTTCACTAGCCTGTATGAATCTTGCCAACGAGATATGTAAATCGAAAACTGTATTTTCTCGTTGGGCTAAATGTGATATTGTTTGTTTCGTCCTGTCTTAGTTCTACTCGAGGGAAACATTAACTGACGCTGTTTTTGGACTTAATTTGCCTTTTAAAGAATTCCTTATAAGAGCTTCTCCCAACGAGGAAGGGCGTGACCATCCTGTTTGCGCGAACAAAATAAAAAAGAACCGTGGATCTAGCGTGTTGACATTGAATCCTTAGGAGTATGTCACTCTGTCTCACTTATTGCGTTCGTTCATTTCAAGGATGAGACAGGATTTTTTATGCCTTGCATACGGGGGCACGAATCGAAGCTTCTCGGGAGCCCCTTTTTCTCTGTCGATGTTTATGCTGTGATCGGTTTATGGGATCAGGGAAGATTTTTAGAATATTTCAATTGTTCATTCCCCTGAAAACGGGATCGTAATTCGAGGAAGATGAGAGGTATCTTTGGTCGGTTGGAAGGAAGAGAGAAAAAGAAGGCCATCGAGATTGAAAGGAGAAGAGACGAGGAGTAGAAGGAAGATAGTGTAATGATGATGGAAAAGGAGGTTGCACGTCTCCGCTCTTTCCCCCAATCTCAGCCAGTCCCAGTCCAATGAATCCTCGTAAATCTCTCCACTCATCCTCCTCTCTTTTTCCTGTCATGGAGAGATCCACATATCCCGTTGTTGTTATATCCCTCTTCACCTGGCCCAGACCCCAATAAACCCGATTCGTCGAGTATCTACGGTTTCTACTTCCTTTCCCTCCTTTCCATAAGCATTTTCGTGCTCGTGGAGCCCGGTGTTTCGTGGTTCAAGGCAAGTGAGCTGATTTTAGTAGTCTTTGCTTGGAACTGCGGTTATATAGAAGGAAGCGCTGAAGAAGGGAAGACAACGGAACGGAAACAAGAACATGCTTATTTTGACGGGGTTTGGGTTTCGCATCCATATACACCAACTCCTGATTAAATCGTAGTCTCCTTGATAAGGGGAAAGACTTGGACAAAGAGAGGAAAATGGGAGTGTATGCGTGAATGTGCATGGGAAGTCAGGGAGAAGACGTAATAAGTAGTAGAAACTGCAGCAGTTCCAATCCAGCGGTTAAGTAGACACTGGGTCAAACCTCCACATAGTCTCCTCTCCTCATTCCCATGGCAAGGGAAACTAATGGATTCCCTCCGAACCCAGACACTTCAGGTATACTCTTTTCATTACACCCACCATGCTTTATGAGTAGGAAGATATTTATCCTATACAGGATACGTTACCTTCCCCTCAGTCTGATTCAGGCATTCTCCATTTTCTTCCCCCTAGACTTTTATTTCTCAGAATCCCAGGGGGTGATTTGTGATATCCTTTTCGGCGTTTTTGCTTCGCATCATGCTGAGTTTCTTCATTCCTCCCTTCCCTCCCCAGCGGGGAAAAAATATGAAGGGAAAATGAATTGTTGCGAGATCTTGGAGTAAAGCCTTTTTTTTTTTGTCCTCCTACAGGTTCTCTCTTGGCTGTGCCAGAAAGGCGAGGAGACTTTGGCTCGCTTCAAAGTACCGGCAGATAACCTAACTGGCGTTCGACATCAGGAGCGACATTTTGACGAGTTCTATTTTGTTGCAATGGTGAGTCTCGTGAATATCATTCATATACTGTACAGTTCATCAGGAACCTTTTTGAATGGAAGAAAGTGAAGAAGACAATAATTCTTCGTGAACAGAAACATATCGAGAAGGGGCAAGACTTGTTGTCAGAGGAGGAAGGTATTGAAACTGATCCTTCTGGTCCCGCTGGTATTGGGGAAGTGACCAAGTCCTTGAAGTTGCACCTCCACTCTTTCGGAGAGCGGCTGGAAGCCACTCGGGAACGCCTTGAAGATACTTCCCGCGTCTATAATCTCCTGGAAAGAGTAAAGCATCTCCCTCCCTTGCTGTTTCCAACTTCCCAGCATAAAAATGCTTGTCCAATTCGCATGGTGAATTCAAGCTTAGCACGCCCAGGATGAAATTCCACATGTCTAGTGCACGCATTCTATTAAGACTCATGCATTCTTCCAGAATACAATACATAACAATACGATGTAATCGGCACTTTCATCAAAATAAATATTGGACACAGGCGCAAGCAGGATATGTATTTAATTTTACCTTTAATGCGAAATCAGGACTGAAATGTTTGCTACAGTATATAAAAGTGATGAGTTGTCATTGATGGCACTATCTTCGAGGCGCGACTGGGGGTTCACAAAAAAATCAGACTATTTATCTCGATATATCTGCACTTACTGGAATAATATCTATTAAGTTTGCACTGTCCATAAACTGATGTTTCCAACAGGCTTTGGAATTTCATCTAAATTCCATTCTTTTCCGAGGCTATTAGTGATTATTCAAAAGATATCAGAAACTATAAAGGGACTAGGGACTCCACTAGACTACCTGCACGAGCTACTATCCTTTTTCAATATCCAACTTCTGTAGCAGTGCGGTAGGGAAGGGGGGGGGGGGTTAGGGGGTTAGATCCCCCCCCCCCCCCCCCCCCGTGGCCCCCCCC